CATGTCATCAGAACTGAGATCCTTGCTCTTTGTTTCTGGATAGATTGCTGTTAATAAGAGACTCATTTTCACTTTCAAACTGCTAAGTAATTACTTTTTCTCTGGCACAACCACTTGCCACTCTGTCTCAAAGAAACTGCATGTATGTGGATGTATTATGCATGAACAGTTAGCATAATGGATGCATATCTTGCTCTTTAAAGTGGCTTCTTTATTGATTTTTTTTAAATAAAATACTTTGGGACCTTCACCTCTGAATATTACACAAGAGGTAGAAATTTTAACAATAGATGACTGAGCCAAGATGCAAACAGTTTCATATATCTTGCTTCTTGAAAAATAAGTCTTGGAAACTGTCTGTCTCATTCCCTTTTCATTCATTGTTCCTGGCAAGCTGTCAGAAGTGCCTGATGCAGTTACAGTAGCTCACCCAAACGACTTTTAATCAGCCACTTAAACATTTATGCACTTCAAAACTCGATCTCCGAACATAATATTAAACGTAAATACTTACTATTTAATGGCAGACATTCTTCTATTATACAGATTTCCTTCTTTTTATGCACACCACACACACACACCCCTGCCACCCTGAAAAATGTGAAAGCTATTCCATTCAAAGCTCAATGAGGCTCTTCCCCCCCATATAGGATAAAAACTCCAAACGATTATGACAAAGATCCTGAGTGAGTCATCAGTAAATGCCCTTCAATTGTAGAAGCAAGACTAACACTCAGATACAGTGATTGCTACATAAGCTAAGGAACACATTCTATTTGGCCAACTCCAAAATACAGTCACCTATTTTCTCATGCCCCAAAATACAGATTTAGAGGAGCTTTTAACATCAATGTGAGAGGCTCTCTGGCTTTTTCACATACTATTGATGTCATTTTAAAAATGAGCAAAAAAATAATATAAAGTAACAAGTAGCATCTTTCCATGAGCCTCACTTATTCTGATGCTAAAACACACACATGAAAATCTCAAATTTTATGTTTTAATCCAACCCACACCACTTACTCATCTTCTGTCTCGTATTTCAATAATGATGCATTTTGGCTGATAAATGTAACCAGTACATAAGGAATATGCAGATGGTTTCTTACAAAAAAGCAATTAATTCTGCTTGTGAGACAGTTAAAGAAGCTTTAAAAAAAACAAGGGACATATAAGCCAAGCACTAGACACTATTAAAAGTTGTCACATAGGAAAGAGTGGGAGCCTTGTCCTTCTGTCCTCGTCCCATTCCACTGCCGGTATTCTTGGGTGCTCAGGAAGTGTTCAATGAGGTTTCCCTTCAAAAAAGCTTTCCTTATAAACTCAGAGTTCGATTCCATCTTCAAAGGCATTGATAAAAACCACAGAACAGCCAGCACTCCATTGTTCCCAAAGAAAGAGGACTGCAGAGGAAAATAGTTAAAACAGTGGTCCACAACTGAATCTCCTCCTCCTCCCCTTGAGGTGCACTGTGTCAGGATCTATGTGCCTGTGTGTACGTGTGTGTTGTGTACATATGTGAATTTTCCTGACATAAGATTGGTTTATTGTGAAGCAATGGACAGTGAAGACATATGGCTCAGAAAAGTATTCAGTCTGAGAATCTGCTGTGGAAAATTTATGCACCAACAATAAAGAACAAAACTAGAACCTCTGTGCAAAAATAGTCAATACACTACTGTAAGTTTACCTGCTTGTAAAAGAACACTGAGGTCAGAAGACTCAGGTTTGTTTTTCAGACAGGGTCTCGCTATGTAGCCCAGAATGGCCAAAAAAACTCCAGATCCGCCACTCAGCCTCCTGAGTGCTGGGATTTTAGGCATGCACTATCATGCACAGAAGATCCAGGTTTGAATCCAGACTATGTCACTAAATTGCTGTGAAACCTCAGGAAACTCAGCCCAGCCCTGAGGCCCCATTCTCTCCTCTAATAAATGGTGCTGACATAGGGCTGTTTAGAACATTTGACCAAGGAGACAAGAAATAAGGACATGGCTATCCCAAAGTGTGTGTGTGTTACTGGGTATTGAACCCAGAGCCTCACAGATGCTAAGCTGCATCTCTTGAGCTACTTATTTGTATTTTGTTTTTGAGACAGGGTTTCACTAGCTTTGTCTGGGCTGACCTGGAACTCTGGATCCTCCTGTCTCCACCTCCTGAGCAGCTGGGATTACAGGTGTATGACACCATACCTGGTCACAAAGTAGCTTCTTAATAAACACAGCCTTTTAAGCAACTGCCTTGCCTGCAGAGCGTGTGTCCTGCCTCTTGCCTCCACAAGAAGAGACTCCAACAGGTCAGAAAATCCTGCCCAAAGGAATGACATCCATGGCCTCTTCCCATTCACAAGGTGGGTGGCCTGGCAACAAAGACAGCTAGGCTTGATGGAGACACATGCAAGGAAGAAATACCTTGCCAGTGATTCCCACCCCCAAATTTGTGCCAAATTTCCCCACATAAAATTAACTATGGCAAAAGAAAAAAAAAAAACCTTCCTTTAGATGTCTATCCCTGATGGGTTTAACTGAACTCTGGGCTGGGGCCATGGGGAAAGATGACTGTGTGTATTTGCTGATGTGGGTTGGACAAAGCTCACCCAGCCGGGCACAGGAAAGTGCTTTCCCAGAGAAAATGGTGTCCTCCATTTACCACCTCCGGCACTAAAGCTGCTTTTACTCATTCTATGTTGTATAAAAGGCTTTTATTATATGCTTTCCTCCTTTGTAATACAGCCCCCCTTTTGGGGAAAAATCTGCAGTAATAAGCAAGCTAGTCTTTTAACAGAAGGTAAACAGAGTGGGGTGAACTTAAAACCACTCTACTTTTTGTTTTACCCAACCACACAGAATTCTATATTGCTTTCATTTCTTTTTTTCCCATTTCTGTTAATAGTTATTTTTAAAGAATCAGGACAGAAGAAGGTCAATAATGACTATGGATGTTACAAAAGTATTAGGCCATACTCTGTATAGAGAAGCACGTAAACAGTTAATGGGCTGAGGTGATTTATAATCCTTCTTTTACCAAATGCATTTTACCTATAATTCCACGTGCATAACAGACAGTTCACTGCAGAAAGTGGCTCTCAGTTAAACCACCATCATCACTTCCGACAGGAGGTGTTTATAGAACACCTATTTTTTTTTTTTAGGGCACTGCTAAATTTACCAGTAAGCAAGGATTAAAGAAGAAGAAAAGAGAAGAGAAAGAATTCAATCTTCTCCCTCTTCTGTTATTGATTTTTTGTCTATAGGTCAAAGAGTTCTCCTGCTTTGCTCTTCTCCTCTTGGGCCAAGAGCAGCTGTGAAAGAGACTCAATTGACTGACAACTTCTCAGCTCCTTCTCCTCCTAGAGCTGAACGATGGATGGGAATCCTGGGAAAAAGGATCAAGGTCTCTGATCTGAGCATCACCCAGTAAATCTGCTTAAAATTAGGGAGTACCAGGGACCTTCCAGCTAAGCACAACCTCTCTCCCTATTCATATCCTCAGGACGTCTGTGATTCGGGGTGAGAGGCCCAGCATGGTGACAGAACTGGAAATCTCCTCGTCAAACTATTTTCTGTAGTATTGTTACCTTGTTGTAGATACCTGTACTAGCATGGATATTTTTATCACCCCGCCCACCATTCTCTGAGTTGTCTGATGAAGGAAAGAGAAAAATTCCACAGACTACCTAACCTTAATTTAGCACATCTGGAACTAAAAGGGCAAAAAAAGTCTTAAAACTATGAAAAAAATCTAAAAATCCATTATCATCTGCTTTGAACAAGTGTACTTACCATTTATAGCATTGACCATACTCTAGCTATATAGGGGGCAAATTAATCTGAGCAAAAAAAAATTATATGTAATTTTTAACAGCCCAATAAATAATCCCTAATATACCACAAATTCTACAAAAATTTAGCTTACTGTGATTTTATTTATGTGTTTATTTTTGGTTTTTTGAGCCAGGGTCTCACTACATAGCCAAGGCTGTTCTCAAACTCATATTCTTCCTGCTTCAGCCTCCTACTTGCTGAGATTACAGATGTGTGACACCATTGGCAACTTCACTGCCAATTTTTATTCCAGTTCTTATCCTGAAGTTTTAAGGATGAGCTTTCACAGTTTATAGCAGTAACAGCCACCTTCTTATTTAATAACCACTTGGGACCTGTTTTATTACTTTTCTACCAGGAATATAATGTTTTAAAATAGTTATCCTATCAAAAAAGCAATTTTTAAAAGTAAATTTTGCTTATATCTTAAAACAAAAATGGACAATAATTCTTCTTCCTCTCTGCTACTTTACATTTTCTATTCAGTCCCTCTTCTTTTCTGAACTTCTGTGTGACCCCTCCCCTAAATGTACAGAGAAACACATGGATTAGCAAATGTTCACAAATCTTAAGGAGACATTTTCAGAGACGAAAAGGACATGGTTTGTAAAGGTGAGTAGAATTCAATTATTTAATAGTTAAAAAATAAAACCGCAGAACCCCTGGAAACATTCACCAGGCTTCCTCCTCTTCATATTGGGTGTTTTTCAACTTCCAGTATGCTAGTCACATAGACAGGAAGCAAATGCACAGAAGGTTTATGGAGGTATCTGACTGATCACCAATGGCTAATTCCAAATTCTCTCCAAGATGTAACAAGTGTGGGTCCCAAAAGTGAACATCTCAGGCCTTCAGTTCTATCCTCGGAATCCCAAACCTGATTGTTAGGGAACAGTTCCTTTCTTAGGGACTTGTGCTGCTTGGCCTGGTGCCTTGCTGCACAACACTTAGCTGTGGTTAATCTCTCAGAGCTGCGCCCACTGTGGCAGGCCTGCTATTCTTTACCATCTGGAGCCTGGAGTTGATATTAGCTTGAAACACACATACAAGAGAAAAGGAAAAAAAAAAAAAGAACTCTCATTCACATTTAACTAAAATTGGTGGCTGAACAATGAGCTATGCTGGCTAGGCTTTCACACATATAAGAAAAGGGGGAAAAAAGGGCAAAGTACAAACCTTCTCCTTTGTTTTCTGGTTCTCTGCTCTGAGGTCTTCATATTCGCCTATTGCTAAAAGAAAAGAAAAGGCGACATTACAACTCCATCTAAAGTTTACTTGTGTGAAAACCGGTAACCAACTCACTCCCATCAACTATTTACTAGATTGAGATCTGGTAGAGAAAAGGTCAGAGGAGGGTTTCTGCATCTGAGGGTAAAGAAGAAAAAGAGCTCACAGCAGATGCGAGCTCACCAAGTTAAACCTCGGCTCTTGCTAGGTCATTAGGAAGACCCACGAAGTGAGAGACGTGACCTGCAACAAAGCGCTCCTCCCCTTCAGTGCTCAGTACTTTTGGTCCCTGACGTTCTTCCCAACACTATTAATCTGTGGTGTTATAATCAGAGGTTTATTCGGAAAATTGACCTCTAGAAAATAAAATAAGACTTGCACGTTCAGTTCAATTGTCACCTACTTTATCCACAGCAAAAAGTTTTTGCTTTGAGCATTAAGCTAAGAACAATTAATTCTAGACAAGACTGGTCATAACCAAGCCACAACCAGAAACCCGCTAGACTCAAGTCTCTAAGTTGAGAATATTTACAAATTAGATATATTTCCAACTATATTGGGGGAGGAAGGAGTTTTCTGCTTATGATCCTCTATTGCTAGAAGAATTAAGTAACCTGAACTCCACATTCATCTTTTAGCAAAAGCACAATTTTTAGACATCCTCACAGTTGAGAATATAAAGTTTAGAGCACTGATCTATGATTCATGATGATACAGAACATGGATGGTAAGCCTAAAACTGCTGCTTACACTAGCCCTGGGCTAGACTGGCACCAGGGAGTCAGTGAATCATTAGGTTGGCTTTCTACCTTTTCAAAAATTCAATTGGGATTTACTACAAAAAAAAAAATCAATTTTTCTAAAAAAAAAAAAAAAAGACAAATAGAGTTTCCTGTTTCTATGAATAATCTGAAGACAAAAATAAAAAAATCTGAAACCATCCCAGATAATCTGGTTATTAATTCTAAAAATGCATGCTTTTAGCCACTAGGGCAGAGAACACCCCAGAAGTAAACAATTAACGTGGCAAAATACACACTCTGCTTCCAGTAGTGATCTAAAGGTTTCAGAATACCTGCTGCAAAGGTAGCATAGAAATCCTCAAAACTGAATTCAAATTAACAAATATTTATGGGATTGCATCACCAATGTCCAGAAGTTTTATTACCACCACAAATATAAAATAAGAATTAATAGGGGGGCATTGTTCAAGTGGTAGAGCACCTACCTAGTAAGTGCAAAGCCCCGAATTCAACCCCCAGCACAACCAAAAAAGAAAGAAAAAAACTAATAGACAATTTTACTGAAGCCACACACACTTTAATAAGGCCCTTGGGCCTTATTAAATAGCATAATAGTTTTGAATGTATATATGTAAAGATACAGCACTTTGGAGAATGATTACATTTTCAACACGAAAGATTTGATGGCCAAAGAATGAAGCCCTCACACTTCATCTGTGCGTCAGCCCCCCTACACCACATACACAACAACTAAATGCAAACTGATGTCCTTGAATCTGAAAAATCAATTAGATGTGCCTCTTTTTAACTAAGAGAGAGAGTCTAAAAATATGCACTTATACCACTGGGTAGTCTGTGGTTATGGTCCTAAATCTTATTACCATATCTAACACTGCATCAAAAAAAAAAAAAATATATATATATAAATAAATATTTATCCAGACTTAGCTTACTTGACATTTAAAAGTATCTGTACATGAAGTTGAAAAATCAAAATTGATTTAACATCTATTATTGGTGACCTACTTGTAGACACACAAACAATAATGGCATATTATAAAACCATAATCTTGTATTGACATTAAGAATTTTTTTTAAGACATTGGATAATGGCTTTGAAGGCTTTCAGAAAACACCCATGCTATTCTCCCATTATATTGCCAACAGGACCCAGATGAAACACTGTAAACTCCCCATTACTGGGTCATTATCAAAAGCATTAATTAAGAATTCATCTATCATAATTTACTAGAAACCATTGAAAATATGCTTTCTTGTGATTACATGCAGCTTTAAAAAAAAATAAAGTGAGCTACAAGACAAGGAAAGGGAACGTATGGAAAGAAATCAACCCCTTGGTAACAGGCAGGGGGTAACTGGGGGATGAGACAAAAAGGAAAGAAAAACATTTATTCTAAAGTTGGAAAACCAAGCCCACTCCCCTAAACAATACTTATTTACACACAAATATATACCCACACATGTGTATCATATCACAGTGAAGACATATGTAGCCCCACCCTCAGCACTGAAAGTGGTCTTATTGCTCAGCTGCTCCTTTTGTGACAAAGTTAAGGGGGTCACAGAGAAAGCCTCACTGTATCAGAACAGGCTCTCAGTGTGAAAATTTTTTAAAGTAAGCTTACACACCTCTAGTGATTTGATAAGAGATCCTCTAGATCCTGAATTAACCAGTGTCTAAGAAGAGCTAAATGTGACCAGTTCTCTGCAATAGAAAAGACCCTCACTGCTTGGCAAATTTTACCTCCCTCTCGGGTTTACAAGTACAGTATGTGTCATTGCATTGTAAAGTCATACAAGACAATAATTAAAATGTGTGGCCTACTCCCAGCCTGAACATTTATGGAAAGAGGGGAACTTGGGCAAATCAGTTACTCTCTCTGAGTCTTGGGATCCTCCTCTAGAAAACAGTGCCTTCCATGGTGTCGGAAGGAAGCATAAATGAGTCATACATGAGTTTCAGGCACAGAAAGTGTCCCATATGTGTTAGCCAGGGTAATTACAATCAAAACAGTAAAGTTCATCAAACACCCAGGGCATGACAAGAAATTAGATGGCCGTCTGATGCTCTGGGTTTTGGGCTTACTTTTGTTCTATGTGATCGAAAAGATGAAAAAAGCCTCCGGAACCCAGGTATCAAATAAAGAGAGGGTAGAGGACTAAATGTCAAGTACAAACCGTGTTGTAGAGAAGTGTAATGAAGGTATGGAAGCATGTCTCAGAGCCATACCTTTCAATACTGGCTACACATTAGAACCAGCTGAGGGGCTTTGCAATCACATAGACTCTGTGCCCTCTCCACACTGCAAACCACCCCTGCAAGACTCTGATTTAATTAACTTGGGGTACAGTTTAGGCACTTTTACTGCCTTTTTGTTTTTTTAAGAAGTGAGTTTCCAGGTGATTCTAATGTGTAGCCAAGGTGGGAAACTACCACGCAACAGTACAGAATGGAAGAAAAAGGAAGATGTTGGAGAAAACAAGGAGAATAGCAGGCAGAGCACGTGTTTCAGGAATCATGCTGCTTTTCCATTTTCTAACTCCCTAATGCCAAGTTTTCTTCCCAAGCCACAAATCACGACATAGCCAGCCAAGGAAGCAACTGAGTAGACTTAGTTGCTTCAAAACTATGACAACTAAAGTTCATAACTACAGGCCACGAACACCACCTCTGGTGAAGGTTAACAACTGTCATGGCTTGCCTGGAATTGTCCGTTTTAGCACTAGAAGGCCAGCATCCCAGCAAACCTCTCCGTTCCATAGACTAATGTTCCTCCCTTCTAGAATCATTTCCAGATCAGCATTTCCAACCCACACTTTCTACACCTGCACGACCCAACATGGCAACCGTTAGCCACAAGCAGCAATTTCAATTGTAATCAATCGAATTTAATTGTAATCAATTAAATAAAATGTAAAGTTCAGTTCTTCAGGTATACTAGTCACATTTCACAGTGGCAAGGGTATACCACACAGGACATTGGACACAGAATCTTCCCAACACAGAAGAAAGTTCCACCGGCCAGTACTATACTGAGCATCTCTTGTCTAACCATACTCAAAGCACCTCATACTCAACCTGTTAGACAACGCCTCAGCACCTACCCTTCTCTCAAATTTCCTGCTTCCTGTGGTCATCATTCACACAGTCCTTAAGCTAGTATCCACAGAATCATTCTTGAGTCTATTTTCTTCTACCACCAAAGGACTATCAAACTCTCATCTCTAAAAGCTGCCCCTTCAATCTGCTAATCCTTGCAGCCAGTATCTCAGCCCTAACTCAGCCCCTCAATTATGACAAACCCTCCTATCTAGCTTTAGCTTCCCTCTCTCTTAAGGTTGTTTACTCTTCACACTGTAGTGAGCATATGGACAAAGCAAATTTCTTATTTGTTTTCTTGCCTAAAAACCTCCAAAAACCTTAGCATCTGGAACCCCACTCTCTTCCTGCCATTCAGCCTCAGAGACCACAACCCACTCTATCGCACCCCCAAGTCCCAGTGCTTCCCTGAGCCCTCTAAGTTCTTGCACACCTAGGTGCCTTTGCAAATATGTTCCCCTCTGCCTGCAGGGTCTTCCCCATTACCCCCTTCACAATGCAAGTTAACTGTCATTTCTTCTCAGAAGCTCTCCTCCTTACACCTCAGGCAAAATCAGCACTTATATTTATTTTAATATGCCACCAGAGTACCCTGTTCATATATAGGTGGAGCATCCTAATACAAACTATAAAATATGAAATGCTCCAAAATCTGAAACTTTTTGAGTGTGGACTTCAGATTTTTGAATTAGAGATGATCAAATGGAAAAGTCTATGTAAATATTCCAAAATCCAAAAAAATCCAAAACCTGAAAGAAGCATTTTGGATATCTGTACATCAGCCTATACCTCTATTAGAGCCCCCTACATATAACACTATAAATTATCTGCACATAGGTCTATTTTCTTGAATTTTCTTCCACTCAACTGATTGCAATTTGCCTTCTATTCAGCAGAATACCAAGTACAGCGTTCACAACATTGAATGAATGAATGAATGAATGGTTCATACAAATCTGTGATGCAAAATAATTAAGCCAAACATTAACATCTCTGTTTTACAAAGGAAGTCACAAAAATGCCTAGATAAATCGCATCTCATAGTAAGAACCTGTCTACTAATTCCCAAAGTCATTCATGCAAATAGACATTACAGAGCATTATTACTGTGTGTAATTCAACAAAGCACTAAATGGGA